AGATAAAAAAAATTGATTACCCAATCTACCAGCCTGCACATTTGAGAAAACTTAAAGAAAATATGCCCTCTGGCAGGATTTGAATATTTGTCCCCTGTTATAGGAAGAACTGCTGTCTAATCCAGTGTGCTTAAGCCTACTCAGCTACAGAGAGCCTCACAGCGAAGCAAGGTTCTATTTGCCTTAAAGCAAATCTCCTTGTTCAGATTTTAGGTTTTTGCTTTAAGGCAAATAGAACCTGAGATGTTCTCTGTAGCCAAGTGGGCTAAAACTCAGTGGAGTAGATGGTGGTTCTTCCTATAAAAGGGGACACAGGTTTGAATCCTGCCACAGGGCACATTTTTTTTTATTAAGTTTTCTTGAATGCATAGGCTGGTAGGTGAAATAAACACTGTTGAAAAAGCAAAACAAAAATAAAACAGAGCGGTAATCAAATGGTAAAATAATGTTTAAAGTAATGAAAATGTCTGATTAAATATAAAAATCCATTAATTCTTTAGAAATAGCATAATTCATGTTTCTGATTACACAATATATATAGCACTGTAAATTTTTTTCTTTATAGGCAGTTTCTTAGCTTAAGATGATATAGGTGTTACTTTTTTTTATACTGAGGAGTTCAATTTTCACAAGATGTAAAACTGAATGTTCATTTACAGTAGTTTTTAGATCACAGCTGTTATTGGGGCATTACATGAAATTTTAAATATTTTTGGTTGCAGGTACATTAGAAACAAAATATTAAGACTTGTCAACTGCTGAGTTTTTTTTAATTTTATATAAAATATAATGATACTGTTTTATAGTAATTATTTTTCTCAATTTGTATTAAAAACAAATTTTTCTTTATCTATTATATTTGTCTATTTCCTGTTTTCTTTTTATTTTGGAATGCTTGTATTGAATTAGAAAAATACAATTTATTCAAAGGGTTAATGGTCTTCAAAGATATTTGAACCTAGGCCTTGGGGCATGATTTTACTAGTTTAAAACCTTAATTTAACTCCAAATTTTTCAGTAACTTCAATTTATCTGAATTTACTAAAATATTCTATTGTGAACCTACTGCCTTCAATGGTTTGTCAACTGTGTGTCATGCTGACCATGATAATTGTCATAGTGGGGTTACATGGATTGATATTCTTCTTCAGTTGTAAAGTGATCCTATCATATTCTTTTGTCCAACTTAAGTATCATGATTCGCACATATATTGAATTCAATCTATTTGTTTGACTTCATCTGTTCAGTCCCTTTCCAGGATCAATAGTTAGGTAAAGGATATATGAAAGAAAGAGAAACTGGTGTTACCTGGCATTTATTCTATTTTGTACAAAAATGATTTGCCGTTTTTCTTTATTTTTCTCTGCTTCATCAAAGCTGTGACTAGAATAGATGGGCCAGGTGATAAACATTGGTTAGAATTTCTTTGTCTCAATACCCCAGACAGAATTAAAACAACAGAGACACCAAACAACAGAGGTCCCTTTCGGCACGTGGCTACCAGTTGCTTGAGTCACCAAGTGAGGCTTATTATATTAGGTTTTCAGATAAAGACATAACTTTTGTGAATCCTGGTTATGATTTTCATTTTGGAATTTCCTTATTTCATAGGATCATTTTGTTAATCTTTGGGAGAATGAAAATAAACTAATAAATAAAATAGAAAAAGAAAAATTTTCATTTTTTCATAATGAAAAATCAAAAAGGAAATGAAAAATGGTTTCCAGTCATCTGTGAATTTTATGACCCCACTTCTGGAAAAGACACGATTGTGCTATCTCATTTCCCAAACATTGAGTTTGGACGTGTTTGGTAGCTGCCTCAATGAAAGGGAGATTTGGCTACCCTCATTCATTGTCAGGTTGACCATTCTTTATATCACAGCATCTTTGTACCTACGTGTGTCAATAAACATTGGCAATTTATTTTCTACTCAAAACTTTGTTTTGTTTTGTTTATTGCGGTACACCGACATTCAACTTCTGTTAGCAGCAGACAGTCAAATACAACACCTCTCTATAAATTCAAATCCCTTTTTGTCTGATTTTCACTCTACAATTATATCATCATCACATTCAAATGAGGGCTCAGATAAGTCCTTCTATTTCTAAATATGGTTAATTTTACTGTTCTTAAAGATGGTCTACTTCAACTATCCATCCAATTTCATTTTGGGAATAAATTTGTGTGGCAATCATTCATGAATCCTACCATAAACTACCACATTTTTATTTCTTTATTTTTCTGTCATGTCAATCTTTGCTATTTTCTTAACTAAATTCCTGTTAAGTAAAGAAAACAAAAATTTCACCTATTAATTTTTTTTTTTTCAATTTTCCCAAAAGTACCCTACAACTACAACTTGCTTGTAAAATCCCACTGGCAGCATCATGAATTTTCATTTTATGTAAAATCTAAACACAAATGTTGTTAAAAATATAAATCACTTTTCTTAAAGTTATTGACAATATATACAACATATCAGTTTACAGTGATTTCCTAGTCATGAAACTTGGAAATCACTGGATAAAACATGTTTTTATATTTAATGACATTCTAATTAACTGACAATCTTTTAGTTTTTTTTGTAGTTGCTTTTTATGTTGTAATTAAGCTTCTTAAAACTATGATTTCTTTTTGCCTACTGTTAGCAGTTTATTGTTATACACTTAACAACCTCCTATAGTTGATTTTAAAGTGAATTAAAGCTCATCTTTTCTACATGGTAGTATCAAACTATTGACTTTGTGACACAGATTTGTGCTTTAAACATTGAGTTACTGAAATACATTCTGAATATATTTTCACTGAACTTTCATTAATCATGCCACTGAAGTTTTTATTGGGGGAAGAAAAACTCGGAAAACCACACAAAACCAAATTTGATCTTATATTTTTGAGCAGGCTTTTGACAATATTAAATATTTTCAATGTTAAGGATAAGATATTATGATTATGTTACTTGTATTTTCTTAAGTGGTTCCATGTTCAAAAACTGACTGCAACCAGCCATGAGTATTTTCATCATTTTTAATATTTTGTTGACAAGAACAATTTCGTTATTATCAGAATTATCTTATCTATCTATATATATCTATATTTTCCTTGATGAATTTCATTTTAACATCAAGAAACTGATTAGACAACTGGAAAGGATCAGTATAAAAATAAGTAGACACAGTATTAAAAAGTGCTCAATACACATAGAAATAAAATAAAATAAAAATTTAACATGCAGACCTTTTAAGCTTAAATCTTTTTAAAAATCTGTATATGTATGTCCATCTCTCTCTCTCTCATATATATATATATATATATATATATAATAAATGCAAATGTCAGTGAGTCACACTTTCTCAACTTTACTTTTAGAGGTCGTAAACCAACATATCATACCATTTTGGAATCAGGACGATTCTGTGAATAAATTAAAGACATTCCAGGCTAGATCCAGAAAATCCTAAAAATTTCAGTAATTTATTTTTTCATTTTGTGTGAATATTTTTGTGATGAATTTTTTGTATGATGACAATTTTTATTACTTGGAAATAAATTCAGGAATAATCAAAATTAATTGTGAAATCCAGCAAAAGTCAGCCATGAAATAAAAATAATTGTTTATATAGAAAGTAAGGATATGTACATGAAATTGTCATTAAATTAAGTAGTGGCAGAAGAATTATCGGTGAACTTTTAAAAGGTAAGCTTAAACATTAATGCAATACTTGAATGTGGTGATCAATTTTGAGTTCTGTAGTTTTTTGTTGCCTATCACCTCTACTCCTCCCTTCCTAGAGTGATGAAGGCTCAATCAAGAGCCCTCAACAGGAACTAGCTTAAATGCCACATGATAGGGCAAATTTTAAGCGGGTATATATATATATATATATATATATATATATATATATATATATATTACAGAAAAATCTAAAATTACCTCATAGTCTATTTCAGATTGGCACAACTTAATGCTAATCCTCATCAGCCCTCGAATGCCTATCTGGAATTGGGGTTTAGAATTTATTTTAGGTAGCAGTCCTACTCAAAGGGACACCTTGTTCTTGATAAGGGGCTTGTGGTAGTGATAAGGGGAGGGTGCAAAGTACCTCTTTAAAGGGAGGTGTTCTCAAGTCAAGGTTTATATATGGCCAGAGCCTTTCATTGTTTGTAAATGAATTTTGGTTCCTACTATGGGATACTACAATATGCAAACAACAAGTATGTTTTACTGGGATTTACAATAAGTAGTATATAGGCAATAAGTTTTTAATAATATTAATAAGTGATGGGGGATTTAAATATAAAATAAATTAAATTTCTATGACCAATGAATGCGTTTGATATTTTTTATATTTTTCTTTTTTTTCTTTTGTTAAGCAACGCTTCATATAAAAGGAACCATTTCTTGTCATGTTGTCATACTGTTCATTAAGAATGTGGGTTTTTCTGCGTGGTGGACCTAAGGGGGAAAAAAAGACGAGCATGCTGTCTATTCTTTTTTTTTGTATCGATTTGGTGGAGGAAGAAGTGACGTAAGTCGTTAATGATTGGTCACTTGTAATTTCAAGATCAGCAGTGGCAGTTACTTAATATGTCGATTTGTTGTGTGCTTGGCAGATTTTTTGCTTAAGGATTGCTTGCCAGAATAGTACTGTTTCGGTAGGATCTCTTGGGCAAACAAGTATGATGTTGCAAGACCCGAAAGCATATTTTGTCTGTAATCTATTAAGTCAGGATGTTCATGTTTCTATATTCTTTTTTTTTTTTTTCAGTGTTTGAATGCAGTGATGCTTTACGCTTTAGGAGTGGAAGCAGGGGCACCAGTGGCAGGACCAGAAGTATTGGAAGAAGCCGATATTCAAGAACTACAGATTATCGTTCGCGTTATGGCAGAACTATAAGCTCAGCAAGAAGCCAAATTAGCCGTATTGGATGGAAGAAAGCCTTATTGGCTGGGGGTCTGTTATATTTAGGCTCTCGTTTTTATTTATCTCGGCGAATGTATTACGATCATCCTTATAGAAGTAAGTTTTTCAGAAATGTGTTGTTGGGACATTTGTTTCATTTATATATTTTTATTTTTTTTGCATGGAAACCTTTTGTGTTCTATTTTAAGTAATTTGAATTATTGCTTTCTGTGCTATTCTTTTATTAAAATCCCATGTCAAACTATTATCTTTACTAGGGTTTATTCTTTCAATTAGGATATTTCCTGTCATATAAGGTGCACTTTAAAAAAATACTCATCTGAAAATGATCCAATATCTTATATTCTGATGAATGAGTTTGGGGAAGCCTGGAAGAAAAAGTTGCATTTACTAAACTAGCACTTGCACCTCTGTTTGACAGACTAGACTCCTGATGACTCCAGAATGAAGTATATATATATGTGTGTGTGTGTGTGTCTGTCTGTGTGTCTGTGGTTAAATTAGAATTATAAATCATGATAACATTATAATATAAAAATATGATATATGTCCACATTTGCAATTCAGAAAAATTCTTGTTGAAAATACTTCTGTACTTTTTCATGAAAATAATCATAAACTAAAAATTCATGAAGCTATCTATATTAAAAAATTGAAACCAATCCTTAATAAAATTAATTATGAATACTGCAGAAATGGTTTAAAATTTGTACAATAGACACTTTAAAATGTCAAGGTTTGTTCTAATAATTTTTACTACTTATTGCTATCAGCAAACCATATTTGGTTACCTCCTCTGAAGTGGTGTCAAGTGATCATGAACTGACTCAGCGTAAAAAACTTCACAAGTAAAAAATTTAATTTTCTTTTGAATGCAGCAATTTTGTCTTTGAAAATGATGAACGCTACGATATTTGTCTTGAAATAAACAATGCCCTGATGATGACATTGTGCTATGTTGAAGGTACTTGGAATAAAATATATATCAACATGGTGATTTTCTCTCTTCCTTTAATAATGATACGAAAAAAAGCTTGTCCATGAATATGAACAGATACAATTGAAAATAAGAGACAAAATTAAATGAAATATGTCAGAATATATATGCATATATATATATATATATATATATATATATATATATATATATATATATATATATATATATAAAAGTTTGTGACCCTATTGCAATCATCAGGCAATATATATATATATATATATATATATATATATATATATATATATATATATATAATCAAATGGATAAATATAGGTAAGAATGCATGAAATACCGAGTTGTGAAATCAATGTAGGGTATTATGTATATTTTTTAATATATATATATATATATATATATACACACACACACATATATATATATATAGAAATAATACAAATATAAAATTTGTCAGTGAGCTGATTGATGTCACCTTCAGCATCCTGACTCCAGAGTTTTGTAGATGGAGCTTCCAGAAATCACTCTGTCCACTCGTCAGGGGATATCAGTGATTGACTGATTATATTTCTCCTTTATAGTTTTCATTAGTGTAGGGTTGATTTTTTTTTTTATTCTGTGTGCATTATTTAATCATTTCACCCAAATCGAAGCAATAAAACCACTAAATTATGAAAGGTTACTGAGAATGAAAGAAAGCAAGAAAACTTTATTGAGAAGAAAATACAGGAAAGAACAGGATTCAAAAAGACAGATGACAATGATTGATGTACATTTAAGTTTCTGAAAATTTTACTTGACGGGAAAGCAAAAAGCTGATAGAGAGTTCCACAGGTGAGAAGTATGAAAGAAGAAACTATTAGAATAGAATTTATGGTTACATCTAGCAATTTCACAGTAAAATGATGAGACCTAACTGCCAATCTAGCCCAATGCTTAAATTTGTGAAGTTGATGTACCAAAGAGGAAAGCTCAGCAGAACAATTGCTATGAAAATATTTATAAAAGAGGCACTTATGTTGCAGAAATGGGAATGTAATTGAAGCTGAGATATAAGTTTAGGACTGATAACATTACAGATAGTTTTTTGGAGTTTGTCGAAATTCTCTTCATACAAAGCAGAAGCATCAAACCAAATGTCCCTTGTCTCTGAATGAATCCTTTCTGGAATAGAGAGTTTTATACCCCTTCAAAAACTTCCAACAAAAACCAAACAGCCAGCCCTGGTTCACTTCTGAATGTGCTGCAGCCATAACTTATCATAACCACTACTTCAATACCTATCATAAAGAGTGGTGTAGTTTGATTCTTACTGCATTCAGAACTGCCTGCAATGGCTGCAAGAACGTTCTGGAAGTTATGTACAAGCGGTTCAGCCCAAAGTTGAAAAGAAATTAATTGAATCCTGAGAATTCTGGAAGATCACCAAGCCAAATTATAAAGCAGTTGTGTCTGCTATTATAAATGGCCCTGGGGTTATATCTTCTTTGAATTTGTAAGATGACAAAGGCCATCTCCTTCCTAACTTCCCATGTCTCACTGAGCATAATCTCAGTAATATTTTCATTATAGCAAGGGAAGGCACAAGACTTATCATAAGCTTTGACCCTAAGAAAGCCAGTGACTCAGACAAAATTCCAGTGTTTATCCTTAAGAATATCAACCTGGAATTATTCCTGATCTTAGAAAAGTTACTTAACTGCTGCTTGAAGGAGAACTCTTTTCCCAAAGCTGTGGAAAGTGTCAAACATATGCCTGGTATTCAAGAATACAGGCAAGTACTCTTACCCATCTCAGTATAGACCCATGAGTCTCCTCAGTATCAGTAGTAAGCTTTTTGAGGCTATAATCAGCAAGATGGTTGTTGAGCAACTAGATAGAACAACCTCTTGAGTGACAACCAGTATGGGTTTTGATACACCTGATCCACTGCTGATGTCCTAACTACCATTACTTACAGAATTACTGAGGCTCTTGATGACAAATACACCTCAAGGACCATAGCAATAGATATTTCAAAGGCCTTTGATAAGATGTAGCAGAAAAGTTTCTTGCACAAGCTCTCCAGCTATGGAATCACTGGAAGTGTCTTCTCAATTATAAAGTCTTTTCTAATAGGTAGGTTCCTGAAGGTAGTGGTTAACAGCCACTCCTCCAAGGCCCTAGCAATCAATACAGGTGTCCCTTCTTGGACCAATCATCTTTATACTTTATATAAATTATCTGCCTATGAATATACTCAGAACATTTGTGAATATCTATGCCAATGATACAATGGTATACGGGTGCACCTCCAAATCTAATTATAAGAGATTGGTGGCTCATCTCTCATCTGAGCTTGCTCTAACTTCTCAGTAGGGGGTGGGAAACTGGCTGGTTACATTCAATGCCTTGAAAAGCAAACTAGTTACATTCCATCATTGCTGATTGAACCCAGAATTACCACCAGTTATGAAGAATGGATGCCCCATTGGGGAGGCACACTGTGCCTTGAGAGACTATTGTGCCTCAAACTCACCCCTGACTTCAAGTGGAACTCGTACATACAATCCATTGCTAAAGATGCAGGAATAATGGTCGATTCACTGTACCACTCCAGTAAGTACCTGACTCCTCATGCTATCCTCTACTTTTACAAGAGCCAGATCATGCCTAAAATGGACTACTGTTGTCATATTTGTGCTGGAACTGCCCAGTCCTCACTTTCTGGTCTCAATAGAGTTCAGAAGTGTCTCAGAGTCCTTATAAGTGACAAATTATTTTCCACCCTTCAACCTGTCTCTCATAGGCAGGATGTGACAATGCTCTCATTGCTCTATCACTACTTCTATGGAAAGTGCTCAGATGAACTGTGTTCCTTGGTTCTGCCAGTTCTAACCTTCATGGCTAGGACCTGCCATACCATTCACATTGGAGCAAACCACCCACATTCTCTCTGTATTCCACTGGTGAGAAGTAAGCTTCACTTGAACAGTTTCTTCCCATGAACCACTGCTCTGTGGAACCGACTCTCAAGAGGATGTTTCCTTGATCACTACAGTCTTAACCTGTTCAAGTCTAGGATTAACTGTTATCTTCCCCTTCCAACCACATAAACTGCCTCTTACTGTAACCCTCTATCTTGTACAGGATAAACCTATTGTAATATATATATATATATATATATATATATATATATATATATATATATATATATGTATGTAAAAGGCATAGATAAACTTATAAATGTGTATGATACATTGTGGTGAAAAAAATTGTCTAGCATAACACAGCGAACCAACTTTCCTAGCAGCAGACTTAGCAAATGATTTGATATAGTTAGTTCATGTCAGTGGAAAAAATTAAACTGAGAAGAGACAATGAGTTGTTCTCCTGGAGGTTAGCATCAGCCATGCTGATTGAAGGCAAAAAAAGGTCATCAAAGATGATTAAAAGAGAGAATATATAAATCTATCTGAATCATCAGTTAAATTTTAAGTTATTTTTATTTATCTTATTTACACTTGAACTATTGTCCTCATCTTTGTTTTTGTTATCACAATGTTTTGGTTGTTGTGCCCTAGAACCTTCTTCAGGTGCCTGTTGAATCAGGTAACCTTTCAAGGAATTGAATCCTTTATTTAATCTACAAGGGTAGATTGTTCTTGTTCCTCTGTACTTGTTTAGAGATATCTTGTTCTTATTTAACCCTCAGTTATTGCTTGCACTGTTTTCTATTGAGTCAAAATCTGCATTGTCCAGCCAAGGGATTGAACTCACTATTATCAAGAGTAAATAAAGTAAATAACTTCTCAGCCCAGAAATTAAGTTCTATTTCTTTAATATTCCTTGCTAAATTTTAGGTATATGTAATATGGTGGGATATATAGCATTTAAAAGCAATACAAACTTTCATTTTGAAAATAAAAATTTGTATATCAGAGAAGTTGAAACAACAAGAATCGTTTAAATGTCAAATTTTATCTAAAAGAAAAGAACAGATTTGATGTCGTTTTATTAAAATCCAAACCATCATTCAATTGGTAAATTGTCTTTTGGCTAGTTTCATCTCTTGGTGAGACAGAGTACAAATTAACTTAAGCATACCTCGTCCCTGGAGATTCCAAATTTGAGGCAGTGCCTCACATTGCACTAAAGAAGGTAGGGTCAGTGGGCATACTGTGTAACTTACAAAACTGACCAGTTTTTGTCACATCTGTGGAATCTCACTGTGAACCTGACTTTGTGTTGCATTTTGTCCTTTTTTAGTAGGTTAATAAATAGTTAAGTTAGACAAGAAAGTAGTGGTCAACACATCTCTGCACAGATATAAAAATGTTTGATTTGAATTATATTTATTAAAAATAACTGATTTAATCGATATTTAACTTGTGTCTTTTATTCCAGAACCTACAATCTGTTCAAATTACATAGATTCTGATGAGAATGGAACTATTTACCAGATGTTTATATGTCCTAGGCATTATGAAATGGATAGCTTTGCTTACTGTTGTGGACCTTCAGAAAGACAAACATGCTGTAAATCACCCAACAGGTAAGGAGTCTTCATTGTGAATATACTTTATAAAATTTCTACTTTGACATGTTTTGTCAATGAACTTTGTTGATGATGCTGGTTCATTATCAAAACATATCAAAGTAAAAACATTTTCCAAATTGCCTTAGATATTTACCAATATAATACTTTAGCTGTTTTGTTGCTGTCCCAGAAAACGATCATAAATTTTAAGAGCTTCCATTACATATTGGTAAGAAAAGCTGACTCAGTAGATAATTGATTTTTGAACCGAATTGACTGCTAGCACACTCACTGTAAACAAATCTATATTTTAAGCAATCATTACATTAAGAAATTTTCATCAAATCCTATGTTTCTTTCATGGTTAATTTGTTTTTGGAAGATTTAAAATTTTTTTTCTCTCGGTAGACATCAGTAGTATGATAATTGAAGTTAATTTTGAATGCCAAAAATTGACATTGCAAGCTGTCTAAAACATGATTTAAATATGGAATGTTTATTTTTATGATTTTTTTTTTTTTACTATTTTCTTGCATCTAGAACCAAAATTAAAATTTCAAAGATTTTTAAATTAAATTTTTATTAAAAAGTTCATGATCATTGTTATGAGTTTTAATGTTCTTGGTACTTAGCTAGTTAAGATGACTAATATAAATGATATCATTTTTTGGTGTTATGTGTGCAAAATATGAAAAGTATATCAAATTTACAATTTTTAGGTATGAACAAAAAGATAGCATGACATGTTTTTTACATGACAAAACAATGGACATTGGTTTTTATACATGTCAAGAAATTATCCTTAGTAAAAATTTTTTGGGTTATGTATGTAAAATATGAGAGGTGGATCTGATCTACATTTTTAGATATAAATAAAAACATATTTTGAACAAGATAAAGAAATGGACATTAACTTTTATAAATATAGTGTGACAGAAAAATGCTTTATGTATAAATAATAAAAATAGCATTAACATTTTTTTATAACATTCTTAAAACAAATATGAAATAACCATATACACTGAACTATAATATAAGAATGGAAAATTACTTTAAAAGATTTTAATACTGATTATTCCAACAACCTTATGATACAGTATTGGCATTGAAGCAGTTAATGTAACTCCACTGCTCCCATAATTAAAACAACTGTTAAAAGAATGCTATTGACAATGAAAATGGTCCTTGGAAACATTTTTTTTTTTAATTTGATATTTGCTTAGTAACATGAGAAATACTTTTTACAAAATGTTCTTTTTGAAAAATTATTTAAAATCTTCCATAATTTGAACTTTGATCTCAAGCTCTTCATTGTCAATATCACCAGAAGATTTTTTTGATTTTATGAAAGTTGTGCCTTTATTTATCATACTGTTGTAAAAAAGTTATATTTGACAGATTTTACAAGCATATCTTGTAATGAGCATTTAGATATGAAAATCTTCCCTCATATGCTTGAAATGCCAACCATATTTAAACTAATCTGATACAATAAAGAACAAATCTCTGTACTCAAATCCAGAGTAATACTGGAAAGAGTGATATCAACTACTGGACTTGAAAAACCTGTTTTGTTAAAAAAAAATATGTATTTTAAAAGAAAGATTTTATAAATTTCAACTAAAAACACTATTGGCTGTTTGTTCAATGAATAACAAATGTTTCCTTATAGGGAAACGGCTAATATTACCGTTACCATTATACTCGGAGCTTGTTTCTAAATCTTCAGTGTTAGAGTTCCACAGATGAAATATACATCTATTTGCAACTTAAGAAGAGTCTAACACCAAATTAATAAATTGCCTTAAATCAATAATCATTAAAATATTAAAGAAGAATAAATGGAAACTATTTCCCTCACCCACCTCTTCTCAGAGGAAGCAGTATCAATCATTACCAATTCTTCATTTAGTACATCTTTCCTCCTAACTTCCAGACTCACACTCTATGATCTCGCTCAAGAAACTAGGATCAGAAATAATAAGCCTGTGATAAAAGTGTTAGCATTCATCTATTTTGTGAGACAATAGTGTAGTACAGAACATTCCCAGCTGGGGCATGATCTGTGGAGCTTTAGAGCTTCACATATGTGAACATCCCTTTCTCAGTGTTACCAGTAGAGTCCAAAGGAAAGTATAAACCAATATAGTTTGTTAGTAGTGTAGCTGCAGGAGTTGTTAAATGGTGATGCCATGGTATGCCATAAATCCACTTTTGAGACCCCAAAAGATGTAAGATTAACTTCTTGGTCTTTTCTTACCCACAAGGCAATGGTAGTTTTAATTCAGAGTTTTCCTTCTCCTAGACTGATTGCCATCCAAGGCAAGAGAGCTCAGTCTGCTTTATTATTTGACTCATAGTTGTAGTAAAATAGATCCGAGTCTTATCCAAGGGTAATAGTGATTAAAAGCTAATGGTTCTTTCAGGTTTAAAAGGAAAATGTCTGAATAATATTTCTTACCCCATGAAACACATTTTGAGTATATCCATTATGAGTGTTCCTTCAGGTTCAAAAAGAAAGTATATGAATACATTGTCTTAACCTCCAAAAGACATTTTTCTGAAGTGATTATGCATTAATTTCTTTAAGAAGTACTAAATTATGAAAAAGCTATCTCAGTTTATTGCTACTTTTTTATTATATATTGGTAAGTATTTTAGGGAACATGTTTTTTTTTTAAATTTTTATTTGCCATATCCTTACAGGAAGTAGGTGATTGGGCTTCTTTGGGGATTCATTTTCTTTATTATCTTTAGAGAGTGGTTTCCTGTTGCTTTCTCTATAGTTTGGAATTCTTCTCTTAGACTGGTTTGTATGAGAGGCTAAAGGGTCAAGTCTGCCCTGGAATATAACCTATAGCTGGGGAGAGAAGTGATGGATGCATGTTTTTTTTTTCTCCAAGGGTATTTGTGTGAAAGTAAATGCAGCAGACTAAGCTGGAATTTGAATCCAGCCTGCTGATTCTACTTTCTGAGCCACAATAACCCTTACACAGCCTGCACATTCAACTTTAGGAAATATTACAAATATTTAAAATAACAAAAGTTGAAGTCAAGCATTAAATTATTCATTCTGATAAAAGAAATTAGTTACAGATTAATTTTCTGAGAAGGTAAAATTATATTAACTTGTAATGGACAATGATTAAAAATTCTTGGAAAGATAAGAAAAAGAAGAAAAAAATCAACAGTTGTCAGTTGTTATATTTACAAAATTATTTTTACACCCTCAAGACTGTCATATATAATTTAACTTGTTTACTTAAATAAGGCTCCCTTTTATCAATCCAGAATCTTTATTTAATAATGAATTTGTATGATTTGACCATCCTGTTGGTGAGAGAAAAACAATTAAAATGACATATTATTGTCTGTTACAAGTGTGTATTATACTTTTGCATTTTTACTTAAAAATTAAATTGGTATGAAAAGATATTATTTTCTTAAATATTAAGTATTTGTTTTTGAAAAGGTAAAAGTTAATTCTCTCAGCCATCTTTTTTTATTTACCTTTGAATAAATGACATATTATTTAGCAAGCTTTATTTTTTGACAACTTAAAGTTTTTTTTAATGCATGCTCTTTAACTGATTCTTGAACAGAATTCTTAACTCTTGTCTGACAATAAATAAATTGGCAATAAATAGCAGAATTTGTATCAACTGATGACAAAAAATGCAGACATATTTGCATTTTTGTTTTTTGAGAAACGTCACCTGTTAACTGTCATTTAGGAGGAATAAACCATTCCCAGAAGCTCAGCCCCAATTCCTTAGGAAGAATTACTGGAGAAAAAAAATTGGTTCTACCCTTTTGTCTAAAAGTAGGAGGTAAGATTTAAAAAGATAACTGCTTAAAGCCTTTGATGAAGATTACACATTTTCCAGGAATTGCTATGAAAAGTTGCCATTTATAGCATTTAAGCAGCTTAACTTAAACAATTTTGTGCTTTAATATAAGCATTTTTCTTTGAAATTCTTTAATTTGCAAATCTTTTTAGGGTCAGATTATGAAGGAAAATCATTTTGTGTGGCAGATCTTGAAATAATAAAAGTTGATTTCATTTTTAAGCATGTTTTGGTGGCCATAAAACTTTTAAAATTATGGGAGAAGAAAGAAATGGTTAAGTTTGTGTGTTTATGTAAGAACTAATCAAAAGAAGCAGCTTCTAGAAAATCAATCAAAATGTAGTCACAATAAAACCAATGTTTCATGGAGAAAATTAACATAATTTACTGAAGTCAACAACATAAAGTAAATACATTTGAAATAACAATGGCTTTTAAATCTGGAAACCAAAGCCTGTATATTTTTCACTTGATTTAATTACCATCTATATGTTTTGTTTTCCTATTAAATATTTTTTGCTAACTTCAAAGGGTTTGATACATTTAAAAGAAAAAGAATTAAATCTGTAAAACAAATGTTGAAAAATATCAAATTTGACTGTTGCAATATTAAGACAAATCAAGTAAGAAGTCCTTTAAATTGTAAATATGTCAGAGTAATATTATCTGTAATTTTAAGGGTCATTAACATTCCCAGTTTTCTTCTGATAATTGGTTAGCCATATTTTGTATTCTTATTTTTTTTAAATCTTCCAACAAGGACAACTCTGTTTGTTTAGACTTTTTTATTTTCTGAGAAACATTATTTCTTGAATGAGCTAATCTAAATTGTTACAAAATAACTTGCAATGGCTGTATCATATTTGTATTTGGAGGTTGCTTGCTATGCCTTTCCTTATCTGACATGTAGCTGAAAATATTTCCCTTAGAAACTAATTATACATTGCTTGAGCTGACCTTTTCTTGCTACTGATAAAAGAAAATGAGTGAAAAGTCCAATTTCCTTTTGTAGATTGTTACACATGTGCACACATGCATGCACTGTAATTCCTTCTGTATTAATATAAATTTCTGAATATCCAAAACATTTATTGAGATTTAGAATTTACTGTCATGCAGTTAACATATAGTTATTTCATATCTTTTTTATTTTCTTATACATAGAAA